GGGGCGGTGGCCCGGACAGGCGCCCTGGAGGCCATGCGGCGCGCACTCCCCCCATCCTGCCGTAGGCCTTGCTGTAGGCCGGGTCGATGCAGATGGCGCGCTCGCAGTCCCGCACGGCGCCCGCGTAGTTCCCCAGCTTGCTGTAGGCCGCGGCTCTGGGGGCCGGGACAAGGCGGGAGAGGCCTCAGCTGCGCCCACGGGCCTCGGTGTGTGGCGTGGCCGGGACGCTGCCGGGGGATGGCTGCCCAGTGCTGTCCCTGCACCCCCAGCCGCCAGGGGAGAGCGCGGCAGACAGGAAGCCCCAAGCCAGCCAGGCACAGCCGGCGTGGCCCTGGAGCCTAACCGCCGAGCCTGGCTGGGCCTCAGTCTGCTCTGTCCCATGGGGTGACGAACCCCTGGTGGGTCGGGCCGGTCTGAGACAGAAAAGCAAAGCCCCGGCCATGGGGGACTGCCACGGCCTCACCGGGCAACCCCAGCCCAGGAGCAGGGGCAGCAGAGAGCCGGCCAATGGCGGGACAAGCTCTGCCTGGGGCCTTCCTTCCTGCCCCACCCGAGACGGCAAAGCCAGCGTGGCGGGTTACGGAGGAGGGTGAGCCGCCGGGCACAGCGCAGAGGCCTGGGTGACTGCAGACCAGACACGGGCACAGACATCGGCCCTGGCGGCTGCTCCATGCCCAGCGCTGCCTCCCAAGGGGACGCGCAGGGACTGCATGGACAGAGGCGAGAGGAGCCCGGGCGGCAGGGCTGACCCGGCTCTCTGGGGGCGGTGCTGCGGCCATCTTCCAGCGACACACGAGGACCGCCTGGAAGCGTGACTCCGAGTGCTCTCCGTGGTGCTCTGGTACACGCGCTCCACGGCACGTGTGCTCGGCAGAGAGCGCAGTCGCCCCCGGGGGATGGCCACTCTCCTCTCAGGACTGTGGGCACGCGTGCACATGTGCCTGCGTTTTCCAAGTCTCCAGGTCTGGGACTTGACCCGTGCAGTCGGCCATGTGAGACCCGGCTGTCTTCACCACCATGTCACCTGCTGGCCTGTGGCTCTGGCTTCTATTTTATCTGTAAGCCGTTTGGGCCGTGCCTACAGCCCAGTGGCTGAGAAAACCGGATCCCATGTGGCTGACTGCAAGTTCAAACCCTGGCCTCAGTGGCCTGAAAACCACGATGGGAGCACGTGTGTGCCCCAAACCCCACCGGGGTGGGGGGTGGAGACGGGGCAGCTGCGTGACGTCGCTCGGGGGTGCTCACTCCCCTTCCGGGCACATGCACACGCCCTCTGGTAGTCACAGCAGCTCTGGTTCGAGGTCCGTGGGAGTGCGGCGGGGCCATGCCCTGCTCTGCTCAGGGGAAGTAACGGGTCAGTCCCGGGCCACGCTCAGAGCCCCGAATTGCAGGCGAGCCGTTCTCTGACCGCCAGCCCGGGGTCCAGCGTCAGCCTTCCGCACCTCCCCATTCTCAGGCACGGCCAGCGCCCGCGGCAGGCGGAGAGGCACCCGCGCTGCGGGAAGGGGCACCTTGCCAGGCCAGGACCGAGCCCAGACAAAGCCGAGAGAGAAACGTGCCGGGCGGTGCACAGCGGGGAGGGGACGCTGCAGGCCTGACCCCACAGGAAGGTTCTGGATTTGCGTCCGAGCCCTCCCTGAGCACACCAGGTACATGGCGGGCTGAGGCGAGGTGGGTGGCCGCACCGAGACCCTGTCAGGAGGCCAGCCTGTGACACGGCCGGGTCCCTCACGGCTCTGCACGGCTCAAGTCCTGGACCCCGCAGCTTAGAAACAGGCTGGGCCAGCAGCGGAGCTGGACTCCACGCAGCTGACCAGGCCAAGTCCCAGGCCTGGCGGGCTCAGGGTCCGTGGGAAGGGTCGCCCCCTCGTGCCTTCTCACCTTCCCTGAGGCCCGCGGTGGTGAGCGCAGTGCCCCACGACAAAGACCTCGATAGAGGGGAGAAGCACGTGGGCCCGTGTGCAGCCGCTCTCCCCGAGGGACGCAGGGACGCAGGAGGGGCTGCGGTGGGCTGGGGCCGGGCCGGGGCCCGCACCGAGGCAACCCGAGAAACAGGGTCTCTATTTCACTTTCCTTATTTATCTAAAGCTGTGTCACAGAGGGACAGAGCGACGAGGGACGCAGGCCGGCGCCCGCACCCGCGCCGCCCGCCCGTCCCCTGCACACGGGACAAGGGCACGGCATCGTGCTGGCTTTCCGGGCGACCACCTGCGTGCGCCCAGCCGCTGACCCACGTCACCGCGGACTCCCGAGGGCCGAGGCCTGCGTCACGGTGCCCCCCGGCTGCCCGGCGCCGTACCTGTTACAGAAGTAGACGGCGTTGGATGGGTTCAGCTCGATGGCCTTCCCGTAGAAGTGCACAGCGGCCTCGAAGTTCTCCACCTTCATCTGCTCGTTTCCTGGGGGAGGAGGCGCAGGCTGGGCAGCCCACGGGGGCCCGGGGACACAGGCCCCACTCGCCCGCTGCCCGGCCCTCGTACGGGACAGTGCCAGCGTCCCCACCTCCAGGACCGCCTGGCTCTCCTCGCAGGGCCCCACTCCAGAGCCCGGAGAGAGCAACGTGCCCGTGCCCGTGTGCGGTGCGGCGGGAGGAGGGCCTGTGCGTCTGCACCTGGCCTCAGAGGCAACACACCCCCAGGAGCAAGCTGCCTGGTGCCCTGGGTCCTGTCGGCATGCAGCCGTCACCACTGCCTGGTTCTGGGCTGTCCTCTATGCCCCTGAGCAAACCTCAGAAACCCCCAAAGGCAGCCCCGTCCCGTGAGCAGTCCCCGGTCCTCAATGCCTCCCCGTCCCGTGGGCCACGCCTGGGGTCTGCATCGTCCTCAGCTGCCAGGGACCAGCAGCCTCCACCCCTCCTATGCCCAGGGACATCCCATGGGATGGTCAGGTCCTTCCTCACCTTCGGTTTTGAGGCGCTCTGCCTCAGCCGAGTCCTCCTCGGAAGGCGGGGTTCGTGCGGGGCTCCTCAGGTCCTGCGGCATCTCCTGGCCCAGAACGAGGCAGCATCTGTGGCCTCCAGCCCATGCAGCCTCCCGCCCAGCCTCCCGAGGGCCAGCAGACAGGCCACGCCCAGGAGCCTGCCCAGTGAGCAGGTGACACCCCGTGGAGGGTGCTGCCACTGCTCTGCTGTTGTCACTGCCTCTAAAACGAGCCTTGCCCTGGGACCCTGTGTCCCCCATGCCCGCTCTCCCTGGACAGGGCCGCACCGTGGGCCTTCCCACCTCAGCCTCCTGAGTCCTGGGCCCCTGGAGCGTCGGCCACGCCGGTACTCGGGCGCAGCCTCCCCGGTGGCCCGGGCCCGTGGGGCAGACTCCCGGCAGCGCACCCCGCGCCTCACCCTGCCCGTGGCGGCTGCTTCGAAGATCTCGGGCAGCGTCCGTGGGAGCGCCAGGTCACTGTCTCCCGCTGTCACCCCGAAAGCCGTCTCCAGGCACTGGATGGCAACTGGAAAGGAGGACAGAGTGCTGCCTCACGCCGCCGCCCACGAACGCAGCCCCGGCCGAGCTCCGGGACCAGGAGGAGGCCCCGTGGTCCGCCCAGGCGTGCTGAGTCCCTGCGGCGTCAGCCCCTCCAGGCCAGGGTCCGGCTCCTCCCTCACGCTTCGGCCCAACCCTGGGTGGAGGGACGGCCACCCCCGCCTGGGGGCAGGGCAGCCGTGGACACAAGGGCCTCTCTGTGGAGTCACAATGTGGGGCTGCCTGGCTACGGGGGTGTGGGGACTCAGCCAGCCTGGGGGCCGTGGGCGGGAAGGAGGCGAGGAGGCTGCTGGGAGCCGGCTGGAGCTGGAGGGCGGGACAGGGGCGGCCTGGGAGCCCGCGCCCTGCAGACTCAGAGGCTCAGGGTCCCAAGGACTGCAGCCCCAGCCTCATGCGAGCGAGGACCAGGGTCCTGACCGGGGTCGGCAGGGGGGGCGGGGGGGG